GATTCTCCCTCGGCTCCTGAGATATTTATAAACTTATTAGTCTACTTATTATTTTTTTCCCAGTGGTGAAGTTAAGGTTCACATGATTATTTTAGCTAAAGTGTATATATGTGTATATATGTATAATTCAAGATGTTTAAATGTGTGTATGTGTGTGTGTATATAGTTTTAAGGTGATCTTAGTACTTATCTTATTCTAGTACATCAAAGGTTCAAAGCCTAAGTAACTTTAATCTTTTAAACCCTAAAATTCCATCTTTTATCAAAGTAAAGTAAGGTAAGGTGGTCATATGGCAATAAAAGATGGGATTTAGGTTCTAAGGATCATTTTAAAATCAAAGGTTCAAAGTTAGTAAATTTTCTAGAATTTGGCAGTTTAGAGGTCTTATGAATTTCTTGATTTTATCCTAGATTTTGGAAGAATTTTATAATTAAAACTTTTATGAGGTAACTTAAAGACGTTTTGATCAGTTTTGGTTCATTTCCACATTAGAAATTCATAGTTAAAACCTAGAATCTAAGTGCTAAAGTTAGGATTGTTCGAAACAGATTTTTAGCAGGACATGCTCCATGTTTTCTATCCAAAGTTCACCATTTCGTTGTTCAAATCTCCTTAAATCCACCTGCATTTTACCGTTATACTTAACAGGATAATTTTAACCAATATTTGCATAAACTTCAGTTCACAAGATGGGAAGTTAAGCTTGAGAGAACACAACTAGTCATTCCGGTTTCAAAGCTGTAATTCCAGCCATGTATCTTCCAAGATTTCCGTTCAATCTACCAAATTATCAACCAAATCCAACATGCACTCACTTCTATACTGAAATGAGGTCAGGAAATTTCAAAATTCAACAAAACTTTCCAATAAATTTCTGTTTTAAAACAAGAATTTCAGCTACCTTCCATCGGACAAGCTAACAGCCATGAAGTTTAGTCATTTCAGCCCCATTAATCGAATTTTTATCAGAGAAACTCACATGGATCACCCTATAAACATTATAAAGGACATAAAGCATGGGTTCCAGTTATAATCTAGCAAAATTTTTGAAGAAAAGAACCAAAATTGCAGCATTTCCTCTTGGTTTACTATCCAAAAATTCCAGTTTTTGAGATTGCTTTAAAAGTCAACCTTTTCTTGCTTTTGGCTCCTCAAATATCACATGCATGACTAGATTAGGAAGATGACTGATATATGAAGTGAGTTTGTAATCAAACTAACAAAATTTTCTGGAGATAAAGCAGGAAATTCTACACTTCAGCCTGTCGGCCTTCAAGCAAAATCAACACAGGAACTTTAGCAAGGTTTTCTTCATTTTCTTAAACATTCTACTTGAGTTCATGCCAAATATTGCATGCATGTCAAAATATGTAAACTTGGGAGCATATATAATGCATGAAGTCATAATCAAACAAATTTTGAAGGAGAATGACTCAAAAGTTGCAGCTTTAACACCATCGGTAGCATGCAGGAACTTTAAACAAAATTTTCCAGCTTTCATGAATTTTCCCTCGGTAAATTTCTTCTTTTCTTGGTTCTGACTCAACCTGAGACATTGCTAATTGGAAGTAGAAGGAAATTGAAGGAAAACTTAGTAAATTACCTCTTGTTCTTTACAGTTGTAAGCTGGAACAATTTCTAGTTTCTCTCCCTCGATTTCTTAGCTAAATGAGCTGGAGTTTTTCCTTGTTTCTTGGCTTGTTTCTTTACAGTTTCTGTTGTTTGTCTTTCTTTTTCCTTCTTGTTTGTCTCTCGGTTTTAGTAAGCAGAGAAGTGAACGATATGTAGTTGGTTTTCTTTTTTTTTTTTTTTTCTTGTTTTCTCTCGGTTCTTAATAAGCAAAGGAAAAGAAAGACAATAGGCGGTTTCTACTACTTTCTCTCGGCCAACTAAGAAGGATTTGGTTCTTTTATGTTTGAGGAATGAAGCATGCATGCTGGTTCTTCTATGTTATCACACTTGTCATGCATGCTGGTTCGTGTGGCTCTCTCTCTGTTCTTTTTTTTGCCACAACAACAAATTCTAACTAATACTAATGGTTTGCGGTATAAGTGATACAGTTTCTCCTAAGGTGTACCTATCTATTTGTTAATGAAAAGAAACAATTGAACATGCAAATCAATCAATCATAAAAGAAAGTGGAACATGCGTTAAATTTTAAATAAGACAGGAGAATTTTTGGGCTCTCAGACCTCCATACTATCATAAGCTTTAGGCATATTCAATTTCACCGCTATGTAATCATCTTTACGTTGCTTTTTGTTTTTCAAATAATTTATAATGCAAAAATTCATGAGAAATGATGACATTGTCAAGAATTTGCCTACAAAGGACAAATGCAAATTGATTTTCATTTATGCATCTATTGAGAACATTTTTAAGCCTATTAGCAAGCACTTTAGCTATAGTCTTATACATGACATTAGAAAGGCTAATAGGCCTATAGTGTTTAGTGGGATATAGGATTTTGGGAATAAGGGAGATGACTGTGTGAATGAGAGATTCAAACACATAATCGAAGTAAAAGAATGCTTGGATTTCATTTACTACATCCTGTTTAATGATAATCCAAAATTTGTAGAAAGAGGAGGAGAAAGTATTGAGAATATAGCTGAATATGACGAGCCTATCGGTTTGAGAAGATGAAAAAGTTGCAGTGAAGAACAATTTCAGTAGGGACATTTTGTAGGTTGTTTTACATTACATCCGATCGTAAAACCTTTTTCCATAGTTATTAGACCTGACTTGACCCAGCGATTGAACCGGTCAGCTCGATGACCCGGGCATTAGACCGGGTAAGGTCTCTAGTTTGACTGAACAAGAAATTGATCCGGTCAAACCCGTACAAACCTAGTTGACAGAGTGGTTCAACCGAAAATCCGTCCGATTTTTCAATTGATCCACTTTACCTTTTTATTATTGTGGGTCTTTGTTTTTGAAATAAAATATATATATACTTTTAATAAGATTTGTACATGGGATCTTCATTTGAATATATATATATATATATATATAGACTTTACCACTTGTTTAGTTTTTATTTGATAACTAAATATTTTTTTAAGATACAATTAATCCTTTTAATTTTTCAACTGACCATATTTGATTAGTTAGAAAATTACTTTATATTTAAATAAAAGTAAAATAATGAAAACATAATGCGATATTTTTCAAAGTAAGCGATATAAATTTTTTTTATACTTACTATATTATTTATTTATTTAAAAGTACGATAAAATAAAATTAAATCTTCTATTAATATCTACATATTTATTATATATCTTTCTAAGTATAATAATTAGTATCCAAAAGCATTTTATTATATATTTTATGTATATTAAATTCACTATTTTATATTTATAAATATTAAATTAATACTCACGAATGACCCAATGATCTAGTCCCTTTGCTGGTTCCTTATTGGGTTGAGTTTAATAACTATGCTTTTTTTCAATGAACTGGTTTTCTTAAAAGAAAGCTCCTTAATACAACCAAGCACTCAAAAACAAAGAAATCATTTTCCTGAATTACACCCATCCAAATAGAGCTTGATTAATTCTTTCTTTTATGGGATAATTTTAGAAGCCTCCCTTGAGGTTTTTGACAATTTCACTAGCCTCCCCTGAAATTTGAAAAATTACACAAATCTCCCCTAAGGTTAAGGTTTTGATACCAAAATTAGTCCAATTAGAAAAAGTAACGTTAAAAAAGTACTTTAAGGGGAGAAATGAGATTTTTATTCCATAAATACCCCTTATGCATATATATAGGTTGTATTAGTAAAAGAATGAAAATAATTAAAAGTTAGAAACAGTTAATGCACACATTTTACTACTCAAAAAATTCACATTCAATAAATTAGACAATATAAATAAGCAACAAAATTACACTAATGATCATAGTATTTAGCAAAACAGATTATTTATCTCTTTTGACATAATGTTTGCTACAATTCTTGTGATTTTGAAAAGAATTCAAATTTTATCTTTCTTTCCCCTCATTTTTCCTTTACTAATATCTAACAATTAAGTAATTAGAGCACTAATTAACTATTAGTAACTAGTTAATAGAAATAACCGTTGAAGATTTCTTTAATGATGAACGATGACATGTAATTACAAAATACATCAATTGATAAATCTAATGGCACTATTTTGTGATTGATAGAATTCGGCAATAACTAGAAATTAGTTGTACACAATGTGAGAAGAAGAGATTTGGTATTAGTTTGTGCACAATGTGAGAAGAAGAGATTTGGTAGAACAAAAAATACAGGGCAAAAGAAGGTTGTTTATTATGATATTTTCTTTGAAACTCTTAAAGTTGTGACAATTGTAAAGTAATTTCATGAAAATAAAGGAGAAAAGAGAGAAACGAAATGCAAAATTTGAAAAATTTTCTATTCAAAATCACAAAAATCATAGTAAATATCATGTTAAAAGAGATTACTAGTCTGTTTTGCTAAATCTTATAATCATCAGTATAGTTTTGTTATTTATTTGTGCTGTCTAATTTATTAAATTTAAACTTTTTGAGTGATGAAATACGTGTATTAATTATTTCTAATTTTTAATTATTTTTATTCTTTTAGTAATACTACTTATATATGCTTAAGAGGTATTTATGCAATAAAAGTTCCATTTCTCTCCTTAAAATACCTTTTTAATGTTACTTTTTCTAATTGGACTAATTTTGTTATCAAAACCTTAACTATAGGAGAGATTTGTATAATTTTACAAACTTTATGGGAGACTAGTGAAATTGTTAAAAATCTCAAGGAAGGTTTCTGAAATTATCCCTACTTTTATCCTTCCAATTTTTAATTGCGTAGAAATACGCTCAACATCTGGACATCACGACATAGGATTAGGGTCCTTGGCCAACTATTATTCCGACACTCCAATTTTTAGTTATTGGTTTAGGTTTAGGATTAGGAGTAGGATTAGGATACTTGTACAGATAGTATTCGGATAAAAAACCATACAATTCACCCATCACAAATTACCCCTCGTTTCATATTCTTGGGCAGTTTATGATTAGATCCTTTAGTATCGCATTCCTGAATCTGCCAACATAAGCTGTTCACCAAGAATACATATAAGCAATATCATCAACTTAAGTAATGGATATTTAACACGATTATGAAGCAAATAAAGAAGATAAGAAATCCTTTGTATACCTCAGTTTGACTAGTGTTTCTGGTCTTGACATCTGCAAGGTAGGAAACTAAAGCTTATCACCAATGAGTGGATTTGCCTCAATCAACTGCTTCAGATTAGCCATCAGTAGCATCCTAGCAGACTTCTCATCTCCATGGCCAGAAAGCTTCTCTTGTTTTCTGGAAATATATGTCATATACATAATACCAATGTAGTTTTACTTCTTATATATCTACATCACGCACTCTTACAAAGCCTGAAAAATCGTACAAGTACCAGAGAAGGCCAGATGGTACAATGCTACGGAGTACAAAGAAGACATTGACAAAATGGAAAGAGCATAAGCACAGCTAGCAACTTAATCATTCAATTGATTTGAGATGAATCCTCTTATATAGTCCACACACACATTATTTTGAAAACAAATCAACCACTCATTCCACCTTTGGAGTTTCTGGTACCGCACTCCCTGCATCCAGAATGCCTGATTTTACCCCCGGAACAGCTTTCTTGCCTTAGTTTCAAATCCAAGTATTCATTTTTGTCCCAATATATAGGGGGCAATTAAAGGCATTCTTCTACTCATACCATTCTAAGAAACTTAACTTCCAATACAGAGTTACCACTTGCAACTCATCGAAACTACAAACAGAATCACCATAATCACTTGCATCAATTAATGAGGACCAAAAAGGCATTGTAATATGCACCTGAAGCTGTGCAATTGGAAAAGGGGTACAAGTCCCCTATTAAGATCCGCTTGGGAAAGAGTAAACACTTCGAGTTCCCTTTTAAGAATGTCCAGCATCATTTTACGATCACCCCTGGACAAAATTAACAATATTCAGAGTTATAAAACAAGCCCCATAAAGCCTAGAATGCAAAATCGTGAAAATACCAAGAAAACACCAGGAATTAAAAAAATAGCACAAAACAATTCAAGAACCAACTTTAAAAAAATATAAAAAAAATTAGCAAGAAGTTTTTACTTGTCTTGTACTTCATAATAATTCTGCCTTCTGATCTCAAAGAAAATGCTAAAGGATTCAGGGTTAGCATCTGCCTTTGTGAACCATGACAAATACTTCTCCACCTCATCCCAGTCTCCATTGCTCATACATTCTTCGAAATACATGATATCAAAGAAAAGCCTTGATTCCCTCTCCAACCTTGTCCAGATAAGAAAATCAACCCAATAATGCAACAAAAACCTCAGTTATAACCAAGATTAAATAGCATTAGTTTGAGGGGAAAACCATCCATCAGAATCTCGCCACATTCAAATACAAATTCAAGCACGCCATGCACAGGGTAATATACAAAGCAACAAATGAAATAGAGTTAAATAATATAAGATCTCTACATTCAACACCAAAGATGCCAAATTATCACACGATGTACACCTTCAGAAGTTGAAGTCAACAAAGTTAACCAACTGCAGTGCAAACTAGAAAGTATAGTCTATTTAACCAATTGAAGCACAAACTAAAAAGTAGTAGTTAAACTTACTCCATGAGATACAATAGATGGTGTCAGTTGCTTGATCACAGTAAGGGTCCTCATATACAAGATTCTTGGACAGTTTATGATTAGATCCTTCATTATCGCATTGCTGAATCTGCCAACTTAAGCTGTTCACCAAGAAAACATATAAGCAATATCATCAACTTAAGTAATGGATTTTCAACATGATTATGAAGCAAATGATAAAGATAAGAAATCCTTTGTATACCACGGTTGGACTAGTGTTTCTAGTCTCGACTTCTGCAGGGTAGGAAACTGAATCTTATCACCAATGAGCAGATTTGCCTAAGTCAACTGCTTCACTTAGCCATCAGTAGGATCTTGGCTGACTTCTCATCTCCATGGACAGAAAGCTTCTCTTGCATTCTGGAAAAATGTGTCATATACTTAATACCAATGTGGTTTTCCTTGTCATATATCCACATCACACACTCTTACAAAGCCAAAAACATCGAACAATCACTAGAGAAAACCAGATTCAAAAATTCTACGGAGTACAAAGAAGACATTGACAGAATGGAAAGAACAAAAGCACAATGGCAACTTAATCATTCAATTGATTTGAGATTAATCGTCTTATACAGTCAGTACACACATTATTTTGAAAAAAATCAACCACTCATTCCATCTTTAGAGTTTCTGGCGCAGCACTTCCTGCATCCAGAATGCCTTATTTTGACTCCGGAACAGCATGCTTGCCTCAGTTTCAAATCCAAGTATCACTTTTTGTCTCAATTTGTAGGGGGCAATTGAAGGCATTCTTCTCCTCATACCATTCTAAGAACCTTCACTTCCAATACAGAGTTACCAATTGCAACTCATCCAAACTACAAACAGAATCTCCATAATTACTTGTATCAATTAATGAGAACAAAAAAGACGTTGTAATATACACCTGAAGCTGTTCAATTGAAAAAGGGGTACAAGTCCCTGTAAAGATCTGCTTGGAAAAGAGTAAACACTTCGAGTTCCATTTTAAGAATGTCCAGCATCATTTTACGATCACCCCTACAAAATTGACAATGTTCAGAGTTATAAACAAACCCCATAAAGCCCAGGATGCAAAATCGTGAAAATACCAAGAAAACACTAGGAATTAAAAAAATAGCACAAAACAATTCAAGAGCCAACTTTAGAAAAATATAAAAAAAAGTTAACAAGAAGTGTTTACTTGTCATGTGCTTCATAATAATTTGCCTTCTGATCTCAAAGAAAATGCTAAAGGATTCAGGGTTATCCTCTGCATTTGTGAACTGTGATAAGTACTTCTCCACCTCCCCCCAGTCTCCATTGCTCACACATTCTTAGAAACATTTGATATCAAAGAAAAGCCTTGATTCCCTCTCCAACCTTGTCCAGATAAGAAAATCAACCCAACAATGCAACAAAAGCCTCAGTTAGAAACTAGATTCATAGCATTAGCTTGAGGAAAAACTCATCCATCAGAACCTTGCCACATTCAAAATACAAATTCAAGCATGATATGCACAAGGTAATATACAAAGCAGCAAATGAAAAAGAGTTAAATAATATAAGATCTCCACACTCAATACCAAAGATGCCAAATTATCACACGAGGTACACCCTCAGAAGTCCAAGTCAACAAAGTTAACCAACTGCAGTGCAAACTAGAAAGTATAGTCTATTTAACCAATTGAAGCACAAACTAAAAAGTAGTAGTTAAACCTACTCCATGAGCTACAGGGGATGGTGTCAGTTGCTTGATCACAGTAAGGGTCCTCATATAGAACATTCTTGGGCAGTTTATGATTAGATACTTTAGTATCGCATTGCTGAATCTGTCAATATAAACTGTTCACCAAGAATACATATAAGCAATAGCATCAACTTAAGTAATGGATATTCAACACGATTATGTAGCAAATGAAGAAGATAAGAAATCCTTTGTATACCTCAGTTTGACTAGTGTTTCTAGTCTTGACATCTGCAAGGTAGGAAACTGAAGCTTATCACCAATGAGTGGATTTGCCTCAATCAACCGCTTCAGCTGAGCCATCAGTAGGATCCTGGTTGAATTCTCAACTCCTTGGTTAGAAAGCTTCTTTTCATTTCTGTAAAAATATGTCATCTACCTAATACCAATGTGGTTTTGCTTCTCTTATATCCACATCACACATTCTTACAATGCCTAAAAAATAGTACAAGTACCAGGAAAGGCCAAATTGAAAATTTCTACGGAGTACAAAGGAGGCATTGACATAATGGAAAAAACATAAGCACAGCAGGCAGTTTAATCATTCAACTGTTTTGAGATGAATCCTCTAATACAATTTGCACAAACATTATTTTGAAAACAAATCAACCACTCATTCTAACTTTGGAGTTTCTGGTACCGCACTCCTTGCATCCAGAATGCCTGATTTTACCCCCGGAACGGCTTGCTTGCCTTAGTTTCAAATCCAAGTATCACTTTCTATCCCAATTTATAGGGGGCAATTAAAGGCATTCTTCTGCTCATACCATTCTAAGAAGCTTCACTTCCAATACAGAGTTACCAATTGCAACCTATCGAAACTACAAACAGAATCACCATAATCACTTGCATCAATTAATGAGAACAAAAAAGAAGTTGTAATATGCACCTGAAACTGTTCAATTGGAAGAGGGGTACAAGTCCCTGTAAAGATCTGCTTGGGAAAGAGTAAACACTTCAAGTTCCCTTTTAAGAATGTCCAGCATCATTTTACGATCACCCCTACAAAATTGACAATGTTCAGAGTTATAAAACAAACCCCATAAAGCCCAGAATGCAAAATCGTGGAAATACCAAGAAAACACTAGGAACTAAAAAAATAGCACAAAACAATTCAAGAACCAACTTTAGAAAAATATAAAAAAAAGTTAACAAGAAGTGTTTACTTGTCATGTGCTTCATAATAATTTGCCTTTTGATCTCAAAGAAAATGCTAAAGGATTCAAGGTTATCCTCTGCATTTGTGAACCGTGATAAGTACTTCTCCGCCTCCTCCCAGTCTCCATTGCACACACATTCTTCAAAATACTTGATATCAAAGAAAAGCCTTGATTCCCTCTCCAAACTTGTCCAGATAAGAAAATCAACCCAATAATGCAACAAAAGCCTCAGTTAGAAACTAGATTCATAGCATTAGGTTGAGGAGAAAATCATCCATCAGAACCTCGCTACATTCAAAATGCAAATTCAAGCATGATATGCACAGGGTAATATACAAAGCAGCAAACGAAATATAGTTAAACAATATAAGATCTCCATATTCAACACCAAAGATGCCAAATTATCACACGAGGTACACCCTCAGAAGTCCAAGTCAACAAATTTAACCAACTGCAGTGCAAACTAGAAAGTATAGTCTATTTAACCAATTGAAGCACAAACTAAAAAGTAGTAGTTAAACTTACTCCATGAGCTACAGTGGATGCTGTCAGTTCCTTGATCACAATAAGGGTCCTCATATAGAACATTCTTGGGCAGTTTATAATTAGATACTTTAGTATCGCATTGCTGAACCTGCCAATAGAAACTGTTCACCAAGAATACATATAAGCAATAGCATCAACTTAAGTAATGGATATTCAACACGATTATGTAGCAAATGAAAAAGATAAGAAATCCTTTGTATACCTCAGTTTGACTAGTGTTTCTAGTCTTGACTTCTGCAAGGTAGGAAACTGAAGCTTATCACCAATTAGTGGATTTGCCTCAATCAACTGCTTAAGCTTAGCCATCAGTAGGATCCTGGCTGAGTTCTCATCTCCATGGTATGAAAGCTTCACTAGCTTTCCGGAAAAATATGTCATATACTTTATACCAATGTGGTTTTGCTTCATATATATCCACATCACACACTCTTACAAAGCTTAAAAAATTGTACAAGTGCCAGAGAAGGTCAGATTGAAAAATTCTACAGAGTACAAAGAAGACAATGACAGAATTGAAAGAATATAAGCACAGCGGGCAACTTAATCATTCAACTGATTTGAGATGAATCCTCTAATATAGTTTGCAGATGCATTATTTTGAAAACAAATCAACCGCTCCTTCCACCTTCGAATTTCCTGGTTCAGCACTCTCTGTATCCAGAATGCCTGATTTTGACCCCGGAGCAGCAAGTTTGCGTCAGTTTCAAATCCAAGCATCACATTTTGCCTCCGTTTATAGGGGGCAATTAAAGGCATTCTTTTGCTCATACCATTCTAAGAAGCTTCACTTCCAATACTGAGTTACCAATTGCAAATCATCCAAATTACAAACAGAATCACCATAATCATTTGCATCAATTAATGAGAACCAAAAAGACGTTGTAATATGCACCTGAAATTGTTCAATTGGAAAAGGTGTACAAGACCCCTGTAAAGATCTGCTTGGGAATGAGTAAGTACTTCGAGGTCCCTTCTAAGAATGTCCAGCATCATGTTACGTTCATTCCTGGACAAAATTAACAATGTTCAGAGTTATAAAACAAACCCCATAAATCCCAGAATGCTAAATCATGAAAATACCAAGAAAACACCAGGAATTAAAATAATAGCCCAAAACAATTCAAGAACTAACTTTAAAAAAATATTAAAAAAAGTTAACAAGAAGAATTTACTTGTCATGTGCTTCATAATAATTCTGCCTTCTGATCTCAAAGAAAATGCTAAAGGATTCAGGGTTATTATCTGCATTTGTGAACAGTGATAAGTACTTCTCCATCTCCTCCCAGTCTCCGTTGCTCACACATTCTTGGAAATACTTGATATCAAAGAAAAGCCTTGATTCCCTCTCCAACCTTGTCCAGATAAGAAAATCAACCCAATAATGCAACAAAAGCCTCAGTTAGAAACTAGATTCATAGCTTTAGGTTGAGGAGAAAATAATCCATCAGAATCTCGCTACATTCAAAATACAAATTCAAGCATGATATGCACAGGGTAATATACAAAACAGCAAATGAAATACAGTTAAACAATATAAGATCTCCATATTCAACACCAAAGATGCCAAATTATCACACGAGGTACACCCTCAGAAGTCCAAGTCAACAAAGTTAACCAACTGCAGTGCAAACTAGAAAGTATAGTCTATTTAACCAATTGAAGCACAAACTAAAAAGTAGTAGTTAAACTTACTCCATGAGCTACAGGGGATGGTGTCAGTTGCTTGATCACAATAAGGGTCCTCATATAGAACACTCTTGGGCAGTTTATGATTAGATACTTTAGTATCGCATTGTTGAATCTGCCAATATAAACTGTTCACCAAGAATACATATAAGCAATAGCATCAACTTAAGTAATGGATATTCAACATGATTATGTAGCAAATGAAGAAGATAAGAAATCCTTTATATACCTCAATTTGCCTAGTGTTTCTAGTCTTGACTTCTACAAGGTAGGAAACTGAAGCTTATCACCAATTAGTGGATTTGCCTCAATCAACTGCTTAAGCTTAGCTATCAGTAGGATCCTAGCAGACTTCTCATCTCCATGGCCAGAAGGATTCTCTTGTTTTCTAGAAATATATGTCATATACATAATGCCAATGTGGTTTTGCTTCTTATATATCCACATCACGCACTCTTACAAAGCCTAAAAAATCATACAAGTACCAGAGAAGGCCAGATGGTAAAATTCTATGGAGTACAAAGATGACATTGATAGAATGGAAAGAGCATAAGCACAGCTGGCAACTTAATCATTCAATTGATTTGAGATGAATCCTCTTATACAGTCCGCACACATATTATTTTGAAAACAAATCACAATCATTCCATCTTTGGAGTTTTTGGTACCGTACTCCCTGCATCCGGAATGCCTTATTTTGACCCCAGAACACCTTGCTTGCCTCAGTTTCAAATTCAAGTATCACATTTTGCCTCAGTTTATAGGGGGCAATTAAAGGCATTCTTCTAGGCATAGCATTCTAAGAAGCTTCACTTCCAATGCAGAGTCACCAATTGCAACTCATCCATACTATGAACAGAATCACCATAATCTATTGCATCAATCAATGAGAACAAAAAAGACGTTGTTATATGCATCGAAAGTTGTACCGTTAGAAAAGGGGTACAAGTCCCCTGTAAAGATCTGCTTGGGAAAGAGTAAACACTTCGAGGTCCCTTTTAAGAATGTCCAGCATCATTTTACGATCACCCCAACAAAATTGACAATGTTCAGAGTTATAAAACAAACCCCATAAAGCCCAGAATGCAAAATCATTAAAATGCCAAGAAAACACCAGGAATTAAAAAAATAGCCCAAAACAATTCAAGAACCAACTTTAGAAAAATATAAAGTAAAGTTAACAAGAAGTGTTTACTTGTCATGTGCTTCATAATAATTCTGCCTTCTGATCTCAAAGAAAATGCTAAAGGATTCCGGGTTATCCTCTGCATTTGTGAACCGTGATAAGTACTTCCCCACCTCCTCCCAGTCTCCATTGCTCACACATTCTTAGAAATACTTGATATTAAAGAAAAGCCTTGATTCCCTCTCCAACCCTGTCCAGATAAGAAAATCAACCCAATAATGCAACAAAAGCCTCAGTTAGAAACTAGATTCATAGCATTAGCTTGAATAGAAAATCATTCATTAGAACCTCACCACATTCAAAATACAAATTCAAGCATGATATACACAGGGTAATATACAAAGCAGCAAACAAAATACAGTTAAACAATATAAGATCTCCACATTCAACACCAAAGATGCCAAATTATCACACGAGGTACACCCTCAGAAGTCCAAGTCAACAAAGCTAACCAATTACAGTGCAAACTAGAAAGTATAGTCTATGTAACCAATTGAAGAACAAACTAAAAAGTAGTAGTTAAACTTACTCCATGAGCTACAGGGGATGGTGTCAGTTGCTTGATCACAGTAAGGGTCCTCATATGGAAGATTCTCGTACAGTTTATGATTAGATCCTTCATTATCGCATTGCTGAATCTGCCAACTTAACCTGTTCACCTAGAAAACATATAAGCAATATCATGAACTTAAGTAATGGATATTCAACACGATTATGAAGCAAATGATGAAGATAAGAAATCCTTTGTATACCTCAGTTTGACTAGTGTTTCTAGTCTCGGCTTCTGCAAGGTAGGGAACTGAAGCTTGTCACCAATGAGTGGATTTGCCACAGTCAACTGCTTTAGTTTAGCCATCAGTAGGATCCTGGCTGACTTCTTATCTCTATGGACAGAAAGCTTCTCTTGCTTTCTGGAAAAATATGTCATATACTTAATACCAATGTGATTTTCCTTGTTATATATCCATAGCACACACCCTTACAAAACCAAAAACATCGTACAATCGCTAGAGAAAGCCAGATTGAAAAATTCTACGGAGTACAAAGAAGACATTGACAGAATGGAAAGAACACAAGCACAATGGCAACATAATCATTCAATTGATTTGCGATTAATCGTCTTATACAGTCAATACAAACATTATTTTGAAAAAAATCAACCACTCATTCCATCTTTGCAGTTTCTGGTGCAGTACTCCTTGCATCCAGAATACCTGATTTTGACCCCGGAACAACTTGCTTGCCTCAGTTTCAAATCCAAGTATCACTTTTTGTCTCAATATATTGGGGGCAATTGAAGGCATTCTTCTGCTCATACCATTCTAAGAAATTTCATTTCCAATACAAAGTTACCAATTGCAACTCATCGAAACTACAAACAGAATCTCCATAATCACTTGTATCAATTAATGAGCACAAAAAGGACGTTGTAATATGCACCTGACGCTGTTCAATTGGAAAAGGCGTACAAGTCTCCTGTAGTAAACACTTCGAGGTCCCTTTTAAGAATGTCCAACATCATTTTACGATCACTCCTGAACAAAATTGACAATGTTCAGAGTTATAAAACAAACCCCATAAAGCCCAGAATGCAAAATCATGAAAATACCAAGAAAACACCAGGAATTAAAAAAATAGCCCAAAACAATTCAAGAACCAACTTTAGAAAAATATAAAAAAAAAAGTTAACAAGAAGTGTTTACTTGTCATGTGCTTCATAATAAGTCTACATTCTGATCTCAAAGAAAATGCTAAAGGATATAGGGTTATCCTATGCATTTGTGAACCGTAATAAGTACTTTTCCAAATCCTCCCAGTCTCCATTGCTCACACATTCTTCGAAATACTTGATATCAAAGAAAAGCCTTGATTCCCTCTCCAACCTTGTCCAGATAAGAAAATCAACCCAATAATGCAGCAAAAGCCTCAGTTAGAAACTAGATTTAAAGCATTAGCTTGAGGAGGAAATCATCCATCAGAACCTCGACATATTCAAAATACAAATTCAAGCATGATATGCACAGGGTAATATACAGAGCAACAAACGAAATACAGTTAAACAATATGAGATCTCCACATTCAACACCAAAGATGCCAAATTATCAAACGAGGTACACCCTCAGAAGTCCAAGTCAACAAAGTTAACCAACTGCAGTGCAAACTAGAAAGTATAGTTTATTTAACCAATTGAAGCACAAACTAAAAAGTAGTAGTTAAACTTACTCCATGAGGTACAGGGGATGGTGTCAGTTGCTTGATCACAGTAAGGGTCCTCATATAGAAGATTCTTGGGCAGTTTATGATTAGATCCTTCAGATCGCATTGCTGAATCTGCCAATATAAGCTCTTCTCCAAGAATACATATAAGTAATATCAACAACTTAAGTAATGGATATTCAACACGATTATGAAGCAAATAAAGTAGATAAGAAATCCTTTATATACCTCAGTTTGACTACTGTTTCTGGTCTTGACATCTGTAAGGTATGAAACTGAAGCTTATCACCGATGAGTGGATTTGCCTCAATCAACTGCTTCAGCTTAGCCATCAGTAGGATCCTAGCAGACTTCTCATCTCCATGGCCAGAAAGCTTCTCTTGTTTTCTGGAAATATATGTCAATACATAATACCAATATGATTTTGCTTCTTATATATCCATATCACACATTCTTACAAAGCCTAAAAAATCGTAGAAGTACCAGAGAAGGCCAGATGGTAAAATTCTACGGAGTACAAAGAAGACATTGACAGAATGGAAAAAGCATAAGCACAGCTGGCAACTTAATCATTCAATTGATTTGAGATGAATCCCCTTATATAGTATGCACACACATTATTTTGAAAACAAATCAACCACTCATTCCACTTTGGAGTTTCTGGTGCCACACTCCCTGCATCCAGAAAGCCTGATTTTACCCCCAAAACAGCTTGTTTGCCTTAGTTTCAAATCCGAGTATCACTTTCTGTCCCAACTTATAGGGGGCAATTAATGGCATTCTTCTGCTCATACCATTCTAAGAAACTTCACTTCCAATACAGAGTTACCAATTGCAACTCGTCTAAACTACAAACAGAATCACCATAATCACTTGCATCAATTAATGAGAACAAAAAAGACGTTGTAATATGCACCTGAAGCTATTCAATTGGAAAAGGGGTACAAGTCCCTGTAAAGATCCGCTTGGGAAAGAGTAAACACTTCGAGTTCCCTTTTAAGAATGTCCAGCATCATTTTATGATCACTTCTGAACAAAATTAACAATGTTCAGAGTTATAAAACAAACCCCATAATGCCCAGAATGTTAAATTGTGAAAATACCAAGAAAACACTAGGAATTAAAAAAATAGCCCAAAACAATTCAAGAACTAACTTTAAAAAAATATTTAAAAAAATTAACAAGAAGTTTTTACTTGTCATGTACTTCATAATAATTCTGCCTTCTGATCTCAAAGAAAATGCTAAAGGATTCAGGGTTATCATTTGCATTTGTGAACCGTGATAAGTACTTCTCCACCTCCTTCCAGTCTCTATTGCTCACACATTCTTTGAAATACTTGATATCAAAGAAAAGCCTTGATTCCCTCTCCAACCTTGTCCAGATAAGAAAATCAACCCAATAATGCAACAAAAGCCTCAGTTAGAAACTAGATTCAAAGCATTAGCTTGAGGAAAAAATCATCCATCAAAACCTCGCCACATTCAAAATACAAATTCAAGCATGATATGCACAACTTAATATACAAAGTAACAAACGAAATACAGTTAAACAAAATGAGATCTCCACATTCAACACCAAAGATGCCAAATTATCAAACGAGATACACCCTCAGAAGTCCAAGTCAACAAAATTAACCAACAGCAGTGCAAACTAGAATGTATAGTCTATTTAACCAATTGAAGTACAAACTAAAAAGTAGTAGTTAATCTTACTGCATGAGCTATAGGAGATGGTGTGAGTTGCTTGATCACAGTTAGGGTCCTCATATAGAAGATTCTCGGACAGTTTATGATTAGATCCTTCATTATCGCGCTACTGAATCTGCCAATTTAAGCTGTTAACCAAGAAAACATATAAGCAATATCATCAACTTAAGTAATGTATATTCAACATGATTATGAAGCAAATGATGAAGATAAGAAATCCTTTGTACACCTCAGTTTGACTAGTGTTTCTAGTCTGGACTTCTGCAGGGTAGGAAATTGAAGCTTGTCACCAATGAGTGGATTTGCCTGAGTCAATTGCTTCAGCTTAGCCATTAGTAGGATCCTGGCTGAAAGCTTCCCTTGCTTTCTAGAAAAATGTGTCATATACTTAATACAAATGTGGTTTTGCTTCTTATATATCCATATCACACACTCATACAAAGCCTAAAACATCGTACAAGCACTAGGGAAGGCCATATTGAAAAATTCTACGGAGTACAAAGAAGACATTGACAGAATGGAAAGAACATAAACACAACGGCAACTTAATCATTCAATTCATTTGAGATGAATCCTCTTATACAGTCCGCACACATATTATTTTGAAAACAAATCAACCACTCATGCCACCTTTGGAGTTTTTGGTACCGCACTCCCTATATCCAGAATGCCCGATTTTGACCCCGGAATAGCTTGCTTGCCTCAGTTTCAAATCCAAGTATCACTTTTTGCCTCAATTTATAGGGGGCAATTCAAGGCATTCTTTTGCTCATACCATTCTAAGAAATTTCACTTCCAATACAGAGTTACCAATTGCAACTCATCCAAACTACAAACAGAATCACCATAATCACTTGCATCAACTAATGAGGACAAAAGAGACATTGTAATATGCACCTGAAGCTGTTCAATTGGAAAAAGGGTACAAGTCCCCTGTAAAGATCTGCTTGGGAAAGAGTAAACACTTCGAGTTCCCTTTTAAGAATATCCAACATCATTTTACGATCACCCCTGCAAAAAATTAACAATGTTCAGAGTTATATAAAAACCCCATAAAGCCCAGAATGTTAAATCGTGAAAATACCAAGAAAACACTAGGAATTAAAATATGGCCCCAAACAAATCGAGAACTAACTTTAAAAAAATATTAAAAAAAGTTAACGAAAAGTTTTTTCTTGTCATGTGCATCATAATAATTCTGCCTTCTGATCTCAAAGAAAAAGCTAAAGGATTCAGGGTTATCCTCTGCATTTGCGAACCGTGATAAGTACTTCTTCACCTCCTCCCAGTCTCCATTGCTCATATATTCTTAGAAATACTAGAAGGAAAGCCATGATTCCCTCTCCAACCTTGTCCAGATAAGAAAATTAACCCAATAATGCAACAAAGCCCCAGTTAGAACCTAGATTCATAGCATTAGGTTGAGGAGGAAATCATCCATCAGAACCTCACCACATTGAAAAAACAAATTTAAGCATGATATGCACAGGGTAATATACAAAGCAGCAAATGAAATGCAGTTAAATAATATAAGATCTCCACATTCAACACTGAAGATGCCAAATTATCACAAGATGCACACCCGCAAATATCCAAGTCAAGAAAGTTAACCAACTACAGCGCAAACTAGAAAGTATAGTCTATTTAACCAATTGAAGCACAAACTAAAAAGTAGTAGTTAAACTTACTCCATAAGCTAAAAGAGATGGTGTCAGTTGCTTGACCACGGTAAGGGTCCTCATATAGAAGATTCTTGGGCAGTTTATGATTAGATCCTTTAGTATTGCATTGCTGAATCTACCAACATAAGCCGTTAACCAAGAATACATATAAGCAATATCATCAACTTAAGTAATGAAATTTCAACACGATTATACAGCAAATGATGAAGATAAGAAATCTTTTGCATACCTCTGTTTAACTAGTGTTTCTAGTCTTGACATCTGCAAGGTAGGAAACTGAAGCTTATCACCAATGAGTGGATTTGCCTCAATCAACCGCTTCAGCTTAGCCATCAGTAGAGTCCTGGTTGAATTCTCACCTCCATGGTCAGAAAGCTTCTCTTGGTTTTTGTAAAAATATGTCATATACCAAATACCAATGTGGTTTTTCTTCTTATATATCTACAACAGACACTATTACAAAGCCTAAAAAATCTTACAAGTACCAGAAAAGGCAAGATTGAAAAATTCTACGAAGTACCAAGGAGACATTGACAGAATGGAAAAACCATGGAGATGTCTCCTCTTATACAGTTTGCACACACATTATTTTGAATCCTCTTATATAGTTTCCTCTTATACAATTTGCACACAAAATAAGGCAAGCAAGATGAATCCTCTTATACAGTTTGCACACACATTATTTTGAAAACAAATCAACCACTCCTTCCACCTTAGGATTTTCTGGTTTAGCGGTCTGTGCATCCAGAATGCCTTATTTTGACCCCGAAATATCTTGCTTGCCCTAGTTTCAAATCCAAGTATCACATTTTGCCTCAGTTTATAGGGGACAATTAAAGGTATTCTTCTAGTCATACAATTCTAAGAAGCTTCACTTCCAATGCAGAGTTACCAACACACACTCCTACAAGGCCTAAAAAAATCTTACCAACACTCACTCTTACAAGGCCTTATACAAGGGTCCTCATATAGAAGATTCTTGGGTAGTTTATGATTAGATCCTTTAGTATTGCATTGCTGAATCTGCCAACATAAGCCGTTAACCAAGAATACATATAAACAATATCATCAACTTAAGTAATGGAATTTCAACACGATTATGACGCAAATGATGAAGATAAGAAATCTTTTGTATACCTCTGTTTAACTAGTGTTTCTAGTCTTGACATCTGCAAGGTAGGAAACTGAAGCTTATCACCAATGAGTGGATTTACCTCAATCAACCGCTTCAGCTTAGCCATCAGTAGGATCCTGGTTGAATTCTCATCTCCATGGTCAGAAAGCTTCTCTTGGTTTTTGTAAAAATATGTCATATACCAAATACCAATGTGGTTTTTTTTCTTATATATCTACAACAGAGACTCTTACAAAGCCTAAAAAATCTTACAAGTACCAGAAAAGGCCAGATTGAAAAATTCTACGGAGTACAAAGGAGACATTGACAGAATGGAAAAAACATAGAGATGTCTCCTCTTATACAGTTTGCACACACATTATTTTCAATCCTCTTATACAGTTTGCTCTTATACAGTTTGCATACAAAATAAGGCAAGCAAGATGAATTCTCTTATACAGTTTGCACACACATTATTTTGAAAACAAATCAACCACTCCTTCCACCTTAGGATTTTCTGGATTAGCAGTCCCTGCATCCAGAATGCCTTATTTTGACCCCAGAACATCTTGCTTGCCTCAGTTTCAAATCCAAGTATCACATTTTACCTCAGTTTATAGGGGGCAATTAAAGGCATTCTTCTAGTCATACCATTCTAAGAAGCTTCACTTCCAATGCAGAGTTACCAACACACACTCTTACAAGGCCTAAAAAAATCTTACCAACACAGACTCTTACAACGCCTTACCAACACACACTCTTACAAGGGCTAAAAAAATCTTACCAACACACACTCTTACCAACATACACTCTTACACACACTCTTCCCAACACACACTCTTACAAAGTCTAAAAAAATCAACCTCTTATATATCTACAACACACACTCTTACAAAGTCTAAAAAATCTTACAAGTACCAGAAAAGGCTAGATTGAAAAATTCTACGGAGTACAAAGGAGACATTGATAGAAAGGACAAAACATGGAGATGTCTCCTCTTATACAGTTTGCACACACATTATTTTGAATCCTCTTATACAGTTTGCTCTTATACAGTTTGCACACATTATTTTGAATGCTTTTATACAGTTTGCACACACATTTTTTTGAAAACAAATCAACCACTCCTTCCACCTTAGGATTTTCTGGTTTAGCAGTCCCTGCATCCAGAATGCCTTATTTTGACCCCGGAACATCTTGATTGCATCAGTTTCAAATCCAAGTATCACATTTTGCCTCAATTTATAGGGGGTAATTAAAGACATTCTTCTAGTCATACCATTCTAAGAAGCTTCACTTCCAATGCAGAGTTACCAGCACACACTCTTACAAGGCCTAAAAAAATCTTACCAACACACACTCTTACAAGGCCCAAAAAAATCTTACCAATACACACTCTTACCAACATACACTCTTCCCAACGCACACTCTTACAAGGCCTAAAAAAATCAACCTCTTATATATCTATAACACACACTCTTACAAAGCCTAAAAAATCTTACAAGTACCAGAAAAGGCCAGATTGAAAAATTCTACGGAGTACAAAGGAGACATTGACAAAATGGAAAAAACATGGAGATGTCTTCTCTTATACAGTTTGCACACACATTATCTTGAATCCTCTTATACAATTTGCTCTTATACAGTTTGCACACATATTATTTTGAATGCTCTTATACAGTTTGTACACAAAATAAGGCAAGCAAGATGAATCCTCTTATACAGTTTGCACACACATTATTTTGAAAACAAATCAACCACTCCTTCCACCTTAGGATTTTCTGGTTTAGCAGTCCCTGCATCCATAATGCCTTATTTTGACCCCGAAACATCTTGCTTGCCTCAGTTTCAAATCCAAATATCACATTTTACCTCAGTTTATAGGGGGCAATTAAAGGCATTCTTCTAGTCATACCATTCTAAGAAACTTCACTTCCAATACAGAGTTACCAATTGCAACTCATCCATACTACAAAAATAATCACCATAATCACTTGCATCAATCAATGAGAACAAAAAAGACGTTGTTATATGCATCGAAAGTTATTCAGTTAGAAAAGGAGTACAAGTCCCCTGTAAAGATCTACTTGGGAAAGAGTAAACACTTCGAGGTCCCTTTTAAGAATGTCCAGCATCATTTTACGATCACCCCTGGACAAAATTAACAATGTTCAGAGTTATAAAACAAACCCTATAAAGCCCAGAATGCAAAATCATGAAAATACCATGAAAACACCAGGAATTAAAAAAATAGCACAAAACAATTCAAGAACCAACTTTAGAAAAATATAAAAAAAAAGTTATCAAGAAGTGTTTACTTGTCATGTGGTTCATAATAATTCTGCCTTCTTATCTCAAAGAAAATGCTAAAGGATTCAGGGTTATCCTCTGCATTTGTGAACCGTGATAAATACTTCTCCACCTACTCCCAGTCTCCATTGCTCACACATTCTTACAAATACTTGATATCAAAGAAAAGCCTTGATTCCCTCTCCAACCTTGTCCAGATAAGAAAATCAACCCAATAATGCAACAAAAGCCTCAGTTAGAAACTAGATTCATAGCATTAGCTTGAGGAGAAAATCATCCATCAGAACCTCGCAATATTCAAAATACAAATTTAAGCATGATATGCACAGGGTAATATACAAACCAGCAAACGAAATGCAGTTAAACAATATAAGATCTCCACATTCAATACCAAAGATGCCAAATTATCATGTGAGGTACACCCTTAGAAGTCCAAGTCAACAAAGTTAACCAACTGCAGTGCAAACTAGAAAGTATAGTCTATTTAACCAATTGAGGCACAAACTAAAAAGAAGTAGTTAAACTTACTCCATGAGCTAAAGGAGATGGTGTCGATTGCTTGACCACAGTAAGGGTCCTCATATAGAAGATTCTTGGGCAGTTTATGATTAGATCCTTTAGTATCGCATTGCTAAATCTGCCAACATGAGCTGTTCACCAAGAATACATATAAGCAATATCATCAACTTAAATAATGGAATTTCAGCACGATTATGAAGCAAATGATGAAGATAAGAAATCCTTTGTATACCTCTGTTTGAATAGTGTTTCTAGTCTTGACATCTACAAGGTAGGAAGCTGAAGCTTGTCACCAATGAGTGGATTTGCCTCAATCAACCGCTTCAGCTTAGCCATCAGTAGGATCTTGGTTGAATTATCATCTCCATGGTCAGAAAGCTTCTCTTGGTTTCTGTAAAAATATGTCATATACCTAATACCAATGTGGTTTTGCTTCTTATATATCCACATCACACACTCTTACAAAGCCTAAAAAATCGTACAAGTACCAGAAAAGGCCAAATTGAAAAATTCTACGGAGTGCAAAGGAGACATTGGCAGAATGGAAAGAGCATAAGCACAGCGAGTACTTTAATCATTCAGCTGTTTTGAGATGAATCCTCTTATACAGTTTGCACATACATTATTTTGAAAATGAATCAACCACTCCTTCCACCTTAGGATTTTCTACTTTAGCAGTCCCTGCATCCAAATTGCCTTATTTTGACCCCAGAACATCTTGCTTGCCTCAATTTCAAATCCAAGTATTACATTTTGCCGCAATTTATAGGGGGCAATTAAAAGCATTCTTCTACTCATACCATTCTAAGAAGCTTCACTTCCAATATAGAGTTACCAATTGCAACTCATCCATACTACAAACAGAATCACCATAATCACTTGCATCAATTAATGAGAACAAAAAAGATGTTATATGCACCAAAAGTTGTTCAGTTGGAAAAGGGGTATAAGTCCCCTGTAAAGATCTACTTGGGAAAAAGTAAACGATTCGAGATCCCATTTAAGAATGTCCAACAACATTTTACGATCACCCCTGGACAAAATTGACAATGTTCAGAGTTATAAAACAAACCCCATAAAGCCCAGAATGCAAAATCGTGAAAATACCAAGAAAACCCCAGGAATTAAAAAAATAGCACAAAACAATTCAAGAACCAACTTTAGAAAAATATAAAAAAAAAGTTAACATGAAGTGTTTACTTGTCATGTGCTTCATAATAATTCTGCCTTCTGATCTCAAAGAAAATGCTAAAGGATTTGGGGTTATCCTCTGCATTTGTGAACCGTGATAAGCACTTCTCCGCCTCCTCCCAGTCTCCATTGCTCACACATTCTTAGAAATACTTGATATCAAAGAAAAGCCTTGATTCATTCTCCAACCTTGTTCAGATAAGAAAATCAACCCAATAATGCAACAAAAGCCTCAGTTAGAAACTAGATTCATAGCATTAGCTTGAGGAGAAAATCATCCATCAGAACCTCGCTACATTCAAAATACAAATTCAAGCATGAAATGCACAGGGTAATATACAAAGCAGCAAACGAAATATAGTTAAACAATATAATATCTCCACATTCAACACCAAAGATGCCAAATTATCACACGAGGTACACCCTCAGAAGTCCAAGTCAACAAAGTAACCAACTGCAGTGCAACCTAGAAAGTATAGTCTATTTGACCAATTGAAGCACAAACTAAAAAGTAGTAGTTAAACTTACTCCATGAGCTACAGGGGATGGTGTCAGTTGCTTCCTCACAGTAAGGGTCCTCATATTGAAGATTCTTGGACAGTTTATGATTAGATCCTTTAGTATCGCATTGCTGAATCTACCAACCTAAGCTGTTCACCAAGAATACACATAAGCAATATTGTAATGGATATTCAATACGATTATGAAGCAAATAAAGAAGATAAGAAATCCTTTGTATACCTCAGTTTGACTAGTGTTTCTAGTCTTGACTTCTGCAAGATAGGAAGCTGAAGCTTATCACCAATTAGTGGATTTGCCTCAATCAACTGCTTAAGCTTAGCCATCAGTAGGATCCCGGCTGACTTCTCATCTCCATGGTCCGAAAGCTTCTCTTGCTTTCCGGAAAAATATGTCATATACTTAATACCAATGTGGTTTTGCTTCATATACATCCACATCACACACTCTTACAAAGTTTAAAAAATCGTACAAGTACCAGAAAAGCCCAGATTGAAAAATTCTACAGAGTACAAAGAAGACATGACAGAATAGAAAGAATATAAGCACAGCGGGCAACTTAATCATTCAACTGATTTGAGATGAATCCTTTTATATAGTCTGCACATGCATTATTTTGAAAACAAATCAACCACTCCTTCCACCTTCAAATTTTCTGGTTCAGCACTCTCTGTATCCAGAATGCTTGATTTTGACCTCGGAACAACATTTTTGCCTCAATTTCAAATCCAAGCATCGCATTTTGCCTCAGTTTATAGGGGGCAATTAAAGGCATTCTTTTGCTCATACCATTCTAAGAAGCTTCACTTCCAATACTGAGTTACCAATTGCAAATCATCCAAACTACAAACAGAATCAGCATAATCACTTGCATCAATTAATGAGAACCAAAAAGACGCTGTAATATGCACCTGAAGTTGTTTAATTGGAAAAGGCGTACAAGTCCCCTGTAAAGATCTACTTGGAAAAGAGTAAGTACTTTGAGGTCTCTTTTAAGAATGTCCAGCATCATTTTACGATCACTCCTGGACAAAATTAACAATGTTCAGAGTGATAAAACAAACCCCATAAAGCCCAGAATGTTAAATCATGAAAATACCAGGAAAACACCATGAATTAAAAAAATAGCCCAAAATAATTCAAGAACTAACTTTAAAAAAATATAAAAAAAAAGTTAACAAGAAGTGTTTACTTGTCATGTGCTTCATAATAATTCTGCCTTCTAATCTCAAAGAAAATGCTAAAAGATTCAGGATTATCCTCTGCATTTGTGAATCATGATAAGTACTTCTCCACCTCCTCCCCGTCTCCATAGGTCACACATTCTTCGAAATACTTGATATCATAGAAAGCCTTGATTCCTTCTCCAACCTTGTCCAGATAAGAAAATCAACCCAATAAAGTGACAAAAACCTCAGTTAGAAACGAGATTCACAGCATTAGCTTGAGGAGAAAATCATCCATTAGAACCTCGCCACATTCAAAATACAAATTCAAGCATGATATGCATAGTCAAATACAAAGTAGCAAAGGCAATAGAGTTAAATAATATAAGATCTCCAGATTCAACACCAAAGATGCCAAATTATCACACGAGGTACACCCTCAAAAGTCCAAGTCAACAAAGTTAACCAACTGCAGTGCAAACTAGAAAGTATAGTCTATTTAACCAATTGAAGCATAAACTAGAAAGTAGTAGTTAAGCTTACTCCATGAGCTACATGAGATAGTGTCAGTTGCTTGATCACAGTAATGGTCCTCATATAGAAGATGCTTTTTGACAATTTATGATTAGATCCTTTATTATCGTATTGCTGAATCTGCCAACTTAAGCTGTTCACCAAGAAAACATATAAGCAATATCATCAACTTAAGTAATGGATATTCAACACGATTTTGACGCAAATGAAGAAGATATGAAATCCTTTATATACCTCTGCTTGCGTAGTGTTTCTATTCTTGGTTTCTGCACTGTAGGAAACTGAAGCTTATCACCAATGAGTTGATTTGCCTCAATCAACTGCTTCAGCTTAGCCATCAGTAGGATCCTGGCTGACTTCTCATCTCCATGGTCAGAAAGCTTCTCTTGCTTTCTGGAAATATATGCCCTATACTTAATACCAATGTGGTTTAGCTTCTTATATATCCACATCACACACTCTTACAAAGCCTAAAAAATCATACAAGTACCAGAGAAGGACAGATTGAAAAATTCTACGAAGTACAACGAGGACATTGACAAAATGGAAAGAACATAAGCACAGTGGACAACTTAATCATTCAACTGATTTGAGATGAATCCTCTTATACGGTCAGCACACATTATTTTGACAACAAATCAACCACTCCTTCCACCTTAGGATTTTTTGGTTCAGCCCTCCCTGCATCCAGAATGCCTGATTTTGACCCTGGAACAGCTTGCTTGCCTCAGTTTCAAATCCAAGTATCACTTTTTGCCTCAGTTATAGGGGGCAATTAAAGGCATTCTTCTGCCCATACCATTCTAAGAAACTTCACTTCCAATATAGAGTTACCAATTGCAACTCATCCAAACTACAAATAGAATCACCATAATCACTTGCATCAATTGATGAGAACAAAAAAGACGTTGTAATATGCACCTGAAGTTGTTCAATTGGAAAAGGGGTACAAGTCCCCTGTAAATATCTGCTTGGGAAAGAGTAAACATTTCGAGATCCCTTTTAAGAATGTTTAGCATCTTTTTACGATCACCCCTGGACAAAATTACCGATGTTCAGAGTTATAAAAGAAACCCAATAAAGCCCCGAATACTAAATCGTGAAAATACCAAGAAAAAATCAGGAATTAAAAAAATAGCCCGAAACAATTCAAGAACTAACTTTAAAAAAATATTTAAAAAAGTTAACAAGAAGTTTTTGCTTGTCATGTGCTTCATAATAATTCTGCCTTCTGATCTCAAAGAAAATGCTAATGGATTCAGGGTTATCCTCTACATTTGTGAACCGTGATAAGTACTTCTCCACCTCCTCCTAGTCTCTATTGCTCACACATTCTTTGAAGTACTTGATATCAAAGAAAAACCTTGATTCCCTCTCCAACCTTGTCCAGATAATAAAATCAACCCAATAATGCAACAAAAATTTCTCATACAGTGAAACAAGCTCAAAAAGTTGAAATTCTTGAAAAAACAACAATGAAACAAACTCCAATGAAATCCCATTTCTGGAAAATTTCAAAAACCAAAAGAGGAATCTTGAAAAACAATAATAAACTATAAAAGCTTACATTTGAAGTGCTTCCCTGTACTGTTCTCCATCCGATTCAGCCAAGAACTGGTGAATTAACAACTTCAACTCGTCTTTATTGAACTCCATCTTCTATCCCTGCTTCTCTCCAAATCCCACTTCAAGAAAAAACGAAAACAATCAAATGATCACTGAAAAACAGAACCCATACCATGGCAATTCAAACAAACACAAGTAAATTAAACCACCATGAACACACACCGGAATGCGTGATAAACAAAAAGAATTCACGAATGAACAGAGATAACATAAATGAAGCCGTTTTCTTTCTTTTTTCTTTTCTCTTTCTCGATTTCTTGAATCTTTTCCAGTTTTGCTGTGAATAAGATGAATTTTAATGAGCTCTCTAAGCCTATTGAAGGTGCTGACTAAAATGAGACAAGTTTAACGACTTGATCCCGAGAATTGTAGATTGTACGGAATGATAGGAATTGGGATTATAACGATAAGAACATAGACTTCAACATAGACTTATAAGCGGAAAAATTTTCCGGTATTGAAAGTTGGATAATTGAATGGATGAGGTTTTAATTACATTTTGCACCCTTAGATAATACCATAGTTCTCACTTTGGTCCCTTAACTACATTTTGCACTTTTAAGTCTTAAACTTGCCCTATATTAGTCTAATCTCGATGGAATATACAATACTAACTAAATCTCATTGGAGGCCACTCTCTACTAATAGAGTATTCAAATTTTATTTATAAGGTAACATGGAGTAGCAATTATTTTGTTAATTTTTGTGCTTTCGGTTAATGATTGGATTACAATGGGACGAATTTAAAACTTTAGGGAGTAATGTATACACAATCAAAGTTTCAAAACTAAAGTGATAATTGAGTATAGTTTGAAAATGCAAAATGAAATTAACCCAATAGATTTGATTTGTCAAATAATAGCCTTTATGGATTACATTTTTATACAATGTTAGTGTAGAAATTTTGTTACACTAGTAGGTTTAGTTGCATGTCACATATTATTTATCGAATTTAAATTTAATTTTCACATGTAGCATGCATTTACACCTACTACTGTAGAAAATTATGTAGAGATCTTGAATTAACAATGATAATATTATAATTTTGAAAAAGTATAGCAAAGAGATGAAAAGGTCATTAAAAGATGGGAGAAGAGGAAACGATTTGGCACCATCTATTTTCACCACAAAAGGGTAATTTTGGTATTGAAAAAGGTTTCTATCAACCCCCATAAATACTTTGAGTTTTTTTTATCATCTTGGTACTAAGGGTATGGATTTTGACGAGGTGTGTGGATTTAGCCCCACCCAAAAAGAAATTAGGCATTGATGTTTAGTTAATTTATGAGGCGGATGTGGTGGAAACGGATGTGAAATGGTCATTCTTATTTGAGTTGAATAAACTAGGGCGGAAGAGTTCATGCCATGCATGAGAATTTAGTGCCTGTGATTAAAGGTAGTAAATAATTATTGTTTGATGTTTTGTAATATAGGAACTGGAGTTTAGTTCCTATGGTTGAAGGTAGTAAATAATTATTGTTTGATGTTTTGTAGTATAGGAATTGAAGTATGGCAAATTTATGATGTGATGTTGAGTAAAAAAGTCATAAAGTTACATATTGAGTCAAAAGAATAATGTGCAATGAAACATAATTATAAGATATGACCAACCACTTTGTATCCAATCTAGTAAAATAAATAGTTGCTTATATTTTCTCATGCACTTTGGAGATGCTAAAATCTGCTGTCTGGTTTGAATTTGATCCTGATATAAGGGCAATTCACTGTACTATCTTGTCCTATATTCTGTTCTCAATTGCTTTAGATTTACAAAATCTGATTGTAGAACCTGATTCTAGAGAATAATCAAAATCAGCAAAAGCTACTCTTTGGCCGATTCTAGATTTTAGCTTTTTTGATCATTAAAAAAATCTATAATTAGAATGCAAAAGCAATCGAGAACATTAGAAAAACTAATTATCCAAAATCAAAATATATAATCAATTAAAATAATCAACCGAGAACAAGCCCAAAATGAGATTGAAACAATTTGCATACTTGAAGAAACCATAGCTAGTGAAATTTCAGTTTTTGCAAACCAAGTTCTTGAATTTATATTGACTCCAAGGACATTTGGATCATTACAAAACCTCCGTATTAATCGATCAATCAATTATGATTTATTCTATGCTTTAGGAGATATAGCAAATCATCATCTTCTCTTTAGGGAATTACAACTACTAAGCATCTATTTATGAGTTAGTTGCAAAGAAATACAACAATAACCCACTGATTTATAGGAATAATTATCTCAAGAAGGTGCTAAGGGATTTTAATCCATTCAATTCAAGAAAACAACTAAAAGTGATGAAATATATACCTTAGATTTGTAGCCAAATAGTTTTAAATATATAGTTAAACCTATTGAGAAACTCAATGAAGTGAAAAATTGCACAAATGGAGCCTCCAATAAAGTAGCAAATGATTTGAAAACTGCCATAACTAATGGTTGAAGCAAAAAAAAGGTACATGAAATTTGTAAATAGGAAGATTAACAATGATAAACTTACTTTAATCCACAAATAGCAATTAACAAATATGATCTCCTTCCTGTCAAACTTGCTTAACATGAACAATTGAATTAAAACACTACAAATAATTGCATATACAACCCACAAGATTATAGATTTCTTACAACAAAAAATAGACTGACTAAAGAAAACATACTTATTGAGAAATGTGCTACAAAATGGGGAAGAGGAATAGCTAGTACAGCAAGATTTGAATTTAATAGGCTACATGATTGTGCTGAAACAAAACTGTGAGTAAATGAATTGAATTTGAACAGATGGGAGTTACTATGGTAGCAGCCAAGAAACCAAACTTCTCCACTAATTGGCATTGCTTATGTCTTAACATATCTATATCATAAGTTTGCAAAAAGTGGAAGAGAAAGGCTTGGTGAAATTGAGAGGTTTGGATACTAACACAATTAAATGATTAAAAGGGCTTT